ACTGCCCGCATTCCCAGGTCACCTGGCTGGTGGGGTAGGGGCTGGAAGGGTGAGGAGCAGTGATTGGGTTTCAGCCACAGAACATGAGGTATGGGCCATATAATTAAAACTTTTATATCTAACAGGCCTATCGACCTCATTTCACCTTCACAACATTGAAAAAAAAAAAGCCACAGAGAAAATATCAACAAACTCCAAAGAAGAAAGAAATGTCATTCTCTGACCATATATAATAAAAAGATATTTCTCTTTCTACCTAAATACCATTCACTTGTAATGTTACAAACATATCTATAAAAACCTATAGGTCAAAGAATTAATAGGTTGCTTGTTTCTGATCTAGAATGTAAAAAACTTGGAAGTCATCCTCCATCATAAATTAATTAATTAATTAATAACTAAAAGATAGCAAACAAAACCAACAATTTTTAGACCTGTCAGAGAAATGAGGCCACAGGGCAACCCACTGACCCCTAAACTTGAGAGATAAACAGGTATCCACTGCTTAGCTGGGTAGACCTCCCCTCCCAGCTGAATTTTCTGGGCACCAGAATATAGTTGGAAAACCTAGAATATAATAGGATCAGTACAGAGTAGCTGAAAAATTTGCCTTCAGGAGGTTTTTTTTTTTTTTAAAGAGAAAAATCTTTGCAGTGTGTGTGTGTGTGTGTGTGTGTGTATGCACACACGCGTGTGCACGCGCACACACTGGGTCCTACAGCTTGAAATCAGGGCCTCAAGCTCTCACTGGTGCTCTATCACTTCATCCACATCTCGACTTCTCTTTGCCGGTTAACTGGTGATGAGTCTCACGACTTTTCTGCTTGGGCTGGCTTCAAGCCGTGATCTTCAGATTCCAACGTTCTGTATAGGATTACAAGTGTGAAGCACCAGCACCTGGCTTTCTCTATACTTCTTGTAAGAGAGGGGCAATAATCTATTTTGAATGTGTCTGTAATTTTGTTGTGCCAGTGATTTTGTTAACAAGACTTGAACTCAGAAGAAATTATTATCAAGGCCAAACATACTGAGGCTGACCAACCTGGGAGAAGGGAAATGCCCAAATCCATTTTACCCATCTGAGGTGTTGAAATAACACCTAAAAGGCACTGTAAAGTCCCTAGACCGGCAACAGGAGCTCACTAAAAATCACTGTTTTTTGTTCAGAAAAGTGCTTCCTTGTCTCCATACCTTCTTACCACATTCTGAAAGGCCTACTTACTGCAATTCCTTTTCACTTAGTATATCAGATGTGGTTTTCAACAACAAATTACATGGTAAAGTAAGAGAGCAATTACAGAGCAAAGTACCCCAGCTATACTCACATATGACAGGAACATTGAAATGATCACACCAGGAACTTTCTACTGCTTGGTTCATACAGTACTAGATATGATGGGAAATACAGGGCATCTGCAAAAACAGATGAAAGATGGAAATGCTAGAGATCAAGAGTTTTGAAACAGAATTGAAGAATGCCTTTTAAGGACTCATCAGTAGCTGAAACATAGCTGAGAAAAAGAAATCTGAGTTTGAGATATGGTGTGAACTATTTAAAGTGTTGGGGGGGGGAACTATACCTATCTACAACTCTGTCAAAAAATGGAGTTATGCAGACTTTCAATTTAATTTTTTTTTTTTTTGCCAATAGACTTGCCTTGCAAAGAATGTTATTTAAAAAGGAAAATTAGAATGATATTCTTGAAGACTCTCAGGTCTACAAAATGAAAAGTATTAGAAGACTTTGTAAAAGCTGAATAAAAACTTTTCTTGTACTTCCTAGATATTACTTTTTTTTTTTTTTTAAAGGAGCAATAAGGTACCTCGGTATAAATAAAAAGAATGGTAGCAATGGCACAGGCACATGAGGCCAGGATTAGGAATACATGGTGGAACAATACAGAACCAAGAAGTAGACCAACTTTTAACAAGCAAAGGCAACATCATGGGTAAAGTCTTTTCACAAATGGTAGAACATCAGGACACCCATACATTCAAAAACACAACTAGTAGTTTCAAGCCAAGTATTATTACTAAAACCATGTACTTCGGTTGATAATGTGGTTCAATTGTAAGAAATATATCACTAGTGTGGGATAATTTCTGGAGGCATACACATGTGCAAAAATATATAGGAACTCTCCATACCTGTTTCCTACAACTAGTGTAGTAATCTTCCATTTCCCCATCTCTCCTGTATTTGTTGAATTTGTAAAGAAGAGACTTTTTTTTTTTTTTTACCCCTTTTCCCTTCATTTTTTGGTGCTAGGACTCAAATTCAGAGCTCATGCCTGCCAGGTAAACACTCTACCAGTGAGCTAGTTATATTCCAGCCCCCAAAACTATACATTTTAATAAGCCTGTTTAACTTGCTAATCATTATTTTTAATAACTAAAGATTAATCTGGGATAGTCCCCAGGCCCAGAGTTCAACATTATATGCTCTTCATAAAGGCTCCGTCCAAATCAAATTTGCATACCTTGGCAAATCTCTATCCTTGTGTAATCATACCAATTCAGAACATTTTTATTCTAAAGTTCCTTATGCTTCTAATTCCTCCCCACCTCAAGTATGTTCACTTCTACCTCTTCTTGAATAACATTGTGTACTATCTTGCATTATTTTCTAACACAGTGTTAAGTTTACTTCATTAATTCCTAAAGGAGATATATTTTTTTTTTTTGCCAGTACTGGGGCTTGAACTCAGGGCCTGGGCACTGTCCCTGAGCTTCTTTTGCTCAAGGCTAGCTCTCTACCACTTGAGCCACAGCACCACTTCCAGCTTTTTCTGTGTATGTGGTACTGAGGAATCAAACCCAGGGCTTCATGCATGCTAGGCAAGCACTCTACTACTAAGCCACCTTCCCAGCCTCCTAAAGGATATTTTCTTTGATGTGGAAATAGTCCAGTATCTTGTTTCCATTGTTGCTTTTTTTTTTTTTTAAATCTAAGACTGGGACTCAAACTTGCTGATGCTAGCTTCTGCCCATTGTCTGGCACTCCACCACCTGAGCCACACTTCCAGCCTCCATTGCTGTTCCCAAGTCAAGCTCCCTATTGTTTGTTGTTGTTGTTGTTTGTGGGGCCTGAACTCTGGGCCTGGGAACTGTCCCTGTCAGCTCTTCAGCTCAAGGCTAGCACTCTACCACTAGAGCCACAGCACCACTTCGGGCTATTTCTGCTTATGTGGTGCTGAGGCATTGAACCCAGAGCCTCATGCATGCAAGGCAAGCACTCTACCACTGAGACACCTTCCCAGTCCCTCCTTATTCTCTGAAGGTAATCTACTTGTTTTACTTTTCTACTTGCTTTCCCATTTTGCCAAATTTGTGTATTGTATATATTTTCTCGTTTCAACTTCAATGGGTATATTTAATCTGCCTGCAGCTTAGTCTCTTTTGTTTTAGAAAAAAAGTTACCATTTCAAAAACTTTTGCTAGTTTCCTTTGTAATAGTTTAGGTCCAATCAGGAGAGAAGCACCACATGGATTAAGCAGAAGCAATTTATCATTGACTGTAAAAGAATGACCAGTATAAAGAATTCTGTCAGCCCAGGGCTGCGAGAAAATGGTGCAAAGAAAAACAAACTTAAAAGGTGTGCAGGTGTCTCCAAAGTTAACAAATACTTTGCTGGCTCAGATTCTTGAATTGCTGTAATAGACTACCCTGTACATTTAAGTATGGAAGCAGGTGATCACAATTGATACTGCAGACCTTCACTGGGTGCCATCAGATCTCTTCAGAGCATTCAGACTAGCAGTAGTGGGCAGTTTGGACCCCTATGCCACAGGTAAGCTGTGCAGAGGCTTATAAAATGCACGTTTACACATGTGGTTTTCCAGGAGTCCTGTATATCTAGCTAGCTACTCAGATCCTCAAAATCTGAGGATTTGAGGTTGGGACCAATCTTGGGGAAAAGTCTTGAGAATCTATCCTAAAATATCCAATAAAAAGCCAACATGTAATGCTGGATACCCATTGCTACAATCTATAATTGTAGCTTGAATTGTAGCGTGTTTGAAACCAGACTGGGCAGGAAGTCTGACTCTATTTCCAATTAACCAGTAAAAAAGTCTAAAATGGAGCTGTGGCTCAAGTGAGAGCACCACAGCCTTGATGGAAAGCTCAGGAACAGCATCCAGGCCCTAAATTCAAGCTCCAGGACTGTTGTGCTTGAGTGCATGTGTGCAGGATGTAGGTGTGGCTCAAGTGGTGTAGGCACAGACCTAGCAAGCATACCAAGCAAGCACAGGCCCTAAATTAAAACCAGTACTGGCAAACACTAACAGGAAAAAAATGTATGTACATACATATGTACCCACATGCACACACCACTGGAACACACCTTCAGCCCTTACATTCCCCCCCCCCCCGACTGTCATGTCTTAAAAAAATTCCCATTCTAAATAATTTACATTTTCCACTACATTGGGGGGGGGGGGGGGAAACAAGTTGCCTAATGTGGAGACACAGAATGAGATATGGGTTCAAATCTTTATTCAAACTATTTAGCACACTCAGCAAGTACATCTTTGAACCTGCTTAATATTTAACCATTGGTTAAACTATACATAGCAGAATTAAATGATTTATGTACTATTTCAAGGGTCAATGGGGAAATCAACCTAGTCTTACAATTCAAAATACTGTTAGGTAATCTGTTTTACAGTGTTAACAAAAACATGTCCTCTGTAACCACAGTTTTAACTAGCTTCAAAGAATCACTGGCTGTAGCTATAAGGGATGCTTGGAAGAGACTTAAAAAATTATCTTTACCATATAGAACCACTCAAAACACGTCATTAATACAAGGGGCTCTCGTATTTTAATTAGAACTGGGGTTTATCACAACTTGTATTTTAAGGAATTTCCCAAGAGATGCTCTCATTTTGAAAAATCCTACTAAATTTTTGAAAACCATGAAAAATACCCCAAATCCAACTCAAGTTATTAAATTCAATTGTGTACTTCATGTTATCTGGAATGAGTAAGACCATAGTGTGTTTAAACACAGACTTTAATGGTAACAATTCCTTTAGGTTCACTTAAGTTTAGCTATTACAAGTCTTACGCAGATGTCACTATTAAACATTTAGTTACTTGCACTGGGTTTCTCTTAAGACAATTTCACTTAAAGTGTTTCCATCATTTAACAGTTTGTTGACACAAAACATGACTAATTTAAAGCCACACATCCCATCTTTAACACAGCAGGATCAGTATCCTAATTATACTTCAACTAAACCATTAAAGTGAGTGTTTCACTACCCCTGAGACCCACTAGTTAACTGTGGTTCATACTTACATTAAATGTGAGTACACCCACACAAGAAAGCAAACTCAGTTAAAAAAAATTGATTATCACACTGCAAACCTGTGGTAGGGGCAGAACAAAATAAATTTACACTTACAGGCCAAATGGACTTTTATGCATTAGAAAGTATAGGGAATATCAGTCCAAAGTCAGAACTTAATGAGCTAATGCTCACTTAGCACTAGCCATTTCAAATTGCTGAGTGGGGTGGGGAAGGCAAATTATTTCAAAAATTTCATTGTAGATGATTCTTATGTCCAGTGTCTATACATTCAAAAAGGGTGGTTTTCCAGGTACTTTAAACTTCTGTTCTCTCAAACCTGGAGAAGCCTCTATGGCTTATTCCCTTAGAAGCAACATATGAAATGTTATATATAAAGCATCAAGTCAAAGATAAAGACAACTGGACACTGTTTATAAAGAGAACTGGACATACCCACTGTTATTTTAATGGCTAAGGAAGCCATCTTTGAAAATACCTTAAATCACCTAAGGTTAAAAAATGCATCCATTTGAAAATCAATTAGGATTTCACTGTTCTGTGAAAAGTGCATTTTATTTGTTTGGCTTTTCAAGAAATACTGCCTACTAAAGCTGTTGAGAATTAAAGAGTCCCAGGAATAATTTTAAAAGCAGAGCCAAAGAAGAGTTATTTCTTACCTTGTGGGGCAACTATGTTACTAGTTTCTCATTCATAATTTTAACCAAAAGGTTTAACACAGCATGATATCTCCCCTGAAGAACCCATGATTTTTAAGCAAAAACAAAAAGGAAAAAATTCACTCATTGGAAAAGTTATACTTAGTTATGTTGGTATTTCCAATGAAAAGTATTTTACAGAAATAACAAAGCCAGAACATCTTCAGAAAGCATGCATTTCACTTCTGGTTTAGAGAAAATCTTGTCAACAAATCATGTCCAAACTACATATTAAAACGTTTCATAAACAATTGAACTTTTAACATTTACTTCTAGCTTTCCGCATCTGTGTCAAACAAGGAATGAGTTGCACATCAAGTGTAAGCAGTGCGAAAATGTGGACGTGGAGACATATGCTAGAAATTGAATACAAGACTTTTAAGAAATAAAGCAATGGGAGTGTCAAAACCAGGAAAAAAAGTAAAACTACAAGATTAGGAAGTGTAAAGAATGATAATGCCCTTGTTACTACAGAAGTTTAATGGCACAAATAGCACTTGTCAAGGGAATTAAAAAAAAAAAAAAGAAAACCCCAATACAATAGCATTGACTTTTATTCATTCATGTTAAGTCACCTGAAATGGTATCTGCTGCATTTAAATGCTCATTAATGTAAATGGCTGAACAAACCCATTTCCATGGATGCCCAATATCTCATGGTTAAGTCACTTCAACACAGCCTCATGACAACTCCCACACCAACAGTACTTTATTTGTAAATTGTGACCCACTATCACTCCCACTTTTCCCCCAGCTATCAAGTGGTACATGATAAAGAGAAGTTTTAGTTAGGGGATGCACCTGGAAAATAAAAGTTCCACATACACGTTCCAGAACTGCTAGGTCCCAAGTCCATTTATGAACTCTAGGGCTGCCAGTATCATGTGCAGCATATTAAAGCTACACTATTTGAATAGCTTATTAATTCTGCATAAATCAGGTTAAACAATGTGTCAACCTGTAACAGACTGTGCACTTTAACTGAACATGGCAAAATATTCACTCTCTGAACTTTACATCATCATTTGATGTCAAACAATGAAGCAAATCCCATCAGTATATACAAAAAACAGCTTTCCATTTACAAAACATTGTTTCCCATACTGATTAATCCAGGCAGCTAACTCATTGGTTTATGCAACTTTATTGAAGAAAAATAAATCAATTACTAGCAGAGCTATTAGTTGATCACTCATCCATTAACAACTTGCATCATTTATTCAGTGCTATATTAAACAGTGTATTGGAAGATAGATTAACTAATAGCTCCAAGCCTCCTAACAATTTAAATGAAAATTACAAAATGTTTGAGACCCTATTTTGGAATACAAAGGGTGTTTGACTTCCAATTTCCATTCTCTGTAGAACAAGAACAGGTCATTCCTTTATCGACATGCATAAAATACATCACATTTTCTGTTCTGCTGATGCTATAAATTCAATACCAATTCTCCAGCCACATCAGTTATGAGCATAAAGTATATCATGTAACCTCAAATCTCTAACAGTGGAAGGCTTAAACAAGAATGGATGCTGCAAGAATGTTGTTTCCTTTGATGTGACAACTGAGCATCCATCTCCCTCCCCCTCAGATGGCTTCTTCAGCATGTTAGAGCAGTGAGGAATGGTTTAGTCTCATAACCGAGTTAAGAGTGAAGATATTGGCCACATAATACACATGCTCCATTTTTTAAAAAAATTTCTGAATCTTGGGCAACTGTTCTCTTGTAACTACTTTACAGTTTCTAAAAGCAGTTATTGTCCAAAGCTGGAAGAACTTAAGTCTTCTCAGATGAGCATGTGAATGAATGGAGGGAGGTAAACAAAAAATAAAATTAAAAAAAAAAAAAAAAAAAAAAGATGAGGTCTGATAGGGGAGCAGCCGGATAAGAAATCAAAAAAGGAACAGTAATTTAAAGTTTATTCCAGCTATAATGCAGGTTATTCTGACTTTAAGGTAGCATCACATGGCATACTTCTGAGTCCATTCCCGAGATATTCTGTTGTACCTATAAATAAAGAAGTTATTTTTAAAAATGAAGTTTAAAATCAGTATTTTAAACAGAAAAAAAATTTCTACTTTTCCCCAGACTTGTCTTTAAAGTCACTTGTCATAGTTGTGAGTAGGAGGAATAGCATGGGTACTCAAAGCAGAGAAATGAGACCTCATGCTTTGAAAGCAGTATTATTTTAATAAATATAAAGCAGCACCGAGACTGGAAAGCTAAGAAACTTCACTATCACTGAAGTAATATAATGCTCTAGTAGAAACTTACAAGTGGTTGGTTATTCACTCTGACAAACTTAACACTAAAAAATTATTTTACATGTTGAAACCCATTTGTAGAAGTACATAAAGAAATACTTTACATTCAACAGGATGCTTGTCAAAGCTAACATGTCCTAGTAAAAATATAAATAGTAATTCCCAAAGGTAAAGCCAACAAGCTATTTCTAAAAAACTGTATCCTTATCCTAAATTTTGAGTTGTTACTTCATCTTGCTTTCCGTGCTTTTGAGATCTGTGCGGGTGTATGAAGACATCAGGAAAGGGTGACAGCTGGGATAGAGGTATAATTGGGCATGTTACTCAAAGAAGCGTGGTGACTGAGACTTGCTGGGCAAGCTCATCTCTACAATGGCAAACAGATCATCTTCATTAGAAGATCCACAGGAATTCACCCGAGAGCCAGATTATTTCTGAAGACCACTAATTTTAACAATTTCCCCTTAGTACATCCAAAACCAACAAAAATACAGCTGTAGCCTTAAGATATATGAGTATAAATCAAAGGGTCACAGGAAAACTTTAGATTTCTATTTATCTTTTAAAGTTTAAAAAGATTATCACGAGCTTAATTGTAAACCAAAACAGTTGTTTTTCTCAAATGTAATGTTCTTTTGCCCAATTCAGAGTTAAGTTGTTTAGGATACCCCTCTTCAAAAAGCCAGCACTTTAAAAACAAAGGCTTTATTTAGCATACAGGGAGCCACAAAATATAGCTAAGATTAATGCATGCTTGTCAGTAATAAACACTTAGTTTAGCTGCTTATGCTTGAGTGTTTTTCCATTAATATTACCTACTGGAAAATTAAATAACAAAACAGTATCAACCTACATACCCCAATTCCATATAGTATTTTAAAAAACAATTTATTGCTATTATAAAGGTGATGTTACAGAGAGATTATAATTACATGAGTCAGGTAATGTGTGGGTAACCAAGTTTCAAGCTGATGTTTGAACACCATATTTGGTTAAAAAAAGAAAAGTCTTATTTTATAGGTGGTACTAGGTTTGAATTCAGAGCTTTGCTCAAATTCCTTTGAGCCATTCCTCCAAGCCTTTAGTTGCTGGGTACTTTCCAGATAGGGTCAACAATGCTGGGGGGGCAAGCCTGGATTTGTGCCTTCCTTTCTGTTACTTAGATTTGGACAAGCGCATGCTACTGTGCCTAGTCACTGGCAGAGGTAGAGTCTTGAGGATTTTTATGCATGTGCTGCTTTTGAATGAGGAGTCCCTAACCTCAGCCTCCCAAATGGATAGGATTACAGGCTTGTGCCACGCCACCATGACTGGCTTAAATTTTCACTTACTAGTGCTGCATAACTGTTTTGCCATGCAAGAATGCTTTCAAAGCAATAATGACTACTGAGTATACTTGCACACTAGATATCAAGCAGTTAAAACAGTTTTCAGAAAACTGCCGTATCTGTTACCTTTTGTTAGTTAATACAGTGCCTTAAAGCATGCAGCACTCAAGTGCTGGCAGTACCATGAATAAGCGCACCAGAGTGCAGATCCTCTTACCCTACAACATAGCGTATTTCTCTGTCCACTCTCTCGCTAACCTATTGTACCTAATTGAACAAGTACACTTAGCATTAATTATAACATACGAAAGTTATGATGGTTAGGTTGAACATGAAAATAACTCAAATATTTGAGATATTAAGATGCAAGACTAAATTCCACATTTTTAAGACAATCTATATATTTAGAAAACCACTTCAGACAAGTGCTTTCTTCTGTCAAACTTGAGAATCAAGTGACAGTTGAATGCATTGAAAAAAAAAAATCCTTTCAGAAGGACAATTCACTGTTATTTATGCTAAAATGTAGATTAATTTTTTCTCCTAGGGGCCAGCCTGGGTGCTGTCCCTGAGCTGCTTCTGCTCAAGCTGTACTCTACCTCTTGAGCCCAAAGTGCCGCTTCCGGCCATTTCTGAGTTTATTGAAGATGACAGTCTCACTGACTTTCGTGCCCTCACCTCTCAAGATTACAGGCCTGAGCCTCTGGAACCCGGCTAGGTTTTGTCTTGCTGAGACAAGATCTCATTATATATCCCATGCTGGCTGCAAACTTAGAATCTCCTCCAGCCTCAGTCTCTTGACTGCTGGGATTATAAGCATTTACCACCATACTTGGCCCCTAGTAATTTTTTTTTCAATAACTGGATTTTAGTAATTAGCTTACCAGAAACAAACACCAAGCCTTCCTAGCACTGCTTCAATTTAACTCTAAATAGACTACTTTTATATACTGTAACTACTGAATACTTACTTATCTCTGTCTGTTTTATAGATCCGTGCAATCTCTGGCACTAGGGGGTCATCTGGGTTCGGATCACATAGCAGTGAACAAATGGATAAAAGAACTGCAAGAAAACAAATGTCTGTTACTTAGATGGATATCATGGTCTTTCTCAAAAGACACAAATGGCATTAGAATTTATTGGTAATCTGTACAGGAAATGAGGGGACTAGCATTTTTATGTAGCGCATATCCATGCCATATTATACACTAAGCAAGAAAACATGATGAATAACCCAGTCTTTGCTTTTTCTTAGGTAAGATTTTTCTGTACTTTCAAGAACGCCACTGAATGTTTTTATCTTGACTCTACAAGGTAAAGATCATACTACCAAGAGGACTGTTAACATAAAGCAATGACAAAATTTCACTATAAGCATTAGTTCTTTACAGCTCTGGTTTTTCTTTTTTTGGGGGTCTGGTCATGGGGCCTGAACTCTGGGCCTGGGCACTGTCCCTCAGCTCTTCAGCTCAAGGCTAGCCCTCTACCACTTGAGCCACAGCGCCATTTTTTTTTTGCTTACGTGGTGCTGAGGAATCGAACCCAGGGCCTCATGCATGCAAGGCAAGCACTCTACCACCGAGCCACCTTCCCAGCCCTAGTTCTTATTCTTTGCCACAATTAACGATCTCATCTTGAGAACTTGCTAATATACCAGACACCATTAAAGCTTTTGATAAAAGACTATAGAAGAGATTGACAACAGTTAGATGGGGAGGGGGAGGGAGGAAACAGCAACAGTCACATAAGCTAAATATTAACTGTCAAGGGCAAATACAACTGCAAAACCAAATGCAAAGGGTTGGAATAAGCACACATACATAAAATTAAGAATAAAGACGACTGAGCTGGGGATGTGGTTTAAGTGGAGGAGCTTTGCCATAAGAAGCATAAAACCTCTCATTCAAACCACAGTTCCAGTAACAAATTAATTATATGTAAATATTTGGCTACATGTAATTCAGAAAAAGGGTAACAGCTTTGTGATGCTGCCCTTATAAGTAAGCAAATTATAAGGTTCACAAAACCAAGTCACTTTACAAACAAACCATTACTTCATTCTCTACTTTTGGTATTAGTTTTTTGTCATTACAGTGATTCCTACCAATAACATTTGAATTTGGCATTTAGGTAATAAAGTGTGAGTTTAAAATAAAAAGAGTAAGAAAGTGTTCTAAAATTTTTAACCATGTGAATTATGGCTGAACTTACTTCTATCCCCTTGAAATAATTAATAGTTTAAAAAAATCTAGAAACAGAATCCTTCCAACAGACCTGTATGCACTATATAAGCATATCCTGTCATTAAGTAAACATTTCGGTTTGGTTTGCATTTATCTAACTCAGAAATCATGCAAAATAGTTCTGGAAATGCTGCACTTACGTTATTGACCTAGAAAATGATGTGAGAGGTACTACTGTCAAATACCCTTAATATCATAATTAGCAATGCTAAAAACCAAGTTTCAGGTACTTTATATTCAAAATAGAAAATAATAAAAGGCAGATCATAGTCTTGTGTGTGGGTGAATTTGTGAACTGAAAGTGACACAAAAGACACTGGACAATCAAATAGAAGTAGAGGAAATATATCCCTCTAGGATATTCCTACCGAGGCTTGACAATATTAGATATGTTTCATAATGGAATTCTATTTTTAAAGCAGATCATTATTCACTGATCTAGATACCTTTCCAAGATTCTACAATTTGAAGCACCATTAATGCATAGCAACAATCCATCATGGTTTTACTATCACGTTACTACGTTTGTTTAAAAAAGAAAAACAAACTCAATTTTTCTAAGAGTGAAACTTCAACATGGCATATCATATCATTCTTGCTAAAAAAGAAAGTGAGAATGTATGTCAAGTGATTTGCAGCTGAAAAGTAGCACTGGTCCCTCACACCTATAAAATCCTAGCTACTCAAGAGGCTGAGACCTGAGACTGAGACCTGAGAATCACAGTTCAGACAGACCAGGCAGGAAGGTCCTTACTACGTTTGTTTAAAAAAGAAAAACAAACTCAATTTTTCTAAGAGTGAAACTTCAACATGGCATATCATATCATTCTTGCTAAAAAAGAAAGTGAGAATGTATGTCAAGTGATTTGCAGCTGAAAAGTAGCACTGGTCCCTCACACCTATAAAATCCTAGCTACTCAAGAGGCTGAGACCTGAGACTGAGACCTGAGAATCACAGTTCAGACAGACCAGGCAGGAAGGTCCATGAGACTCTTATCATCAATTAACCACCAAAAACCGGAAGTGGCACTATGGCTCAACGTGGTAAGAGTGGTAGCCTTGAGCAAAAGAGCTCAGAGACAGTGCCCAAACCCAGAGTTCAAACCCTACAAGAAAAAAAAAAAATCCACCAATTTAGCCTCAAATTTCTCCCACAAAAACTTTAGTTTTTCCCACAAAATCTCTTCATAAAGATTTTTTTTTAAACTAACAGTATATAATACAAGTACTTTTTCTTTCCCCATTCTAACCAAAACACTGGCATAATAAAAATAACTTATGAACAGCCAGATAAAACTCATAAAAATCAAAATATTAAAGATTATTAAAGATTATTCCATTAGAAGTATTTACCTTTAGAAATAGTTAAAGCAGGAGACCACTGTGACCTTAGAATATCAAGACAAATGCTGCCATTACTGTTAATATTTGGATGGTAAATTCTTGTTGTAAATGCAACCTAAAATAAATTTACAAAAAACCTTTAATTATGTTGTACAAATAAAAAACTTAAGTCTTTTAAAAATTTCATGAATACACAGGTCTGTATTTTAGTTGTTTCCACTATACATTTTGCACTTATTCATCCACAGAAGTTGAATTTGTTAACAGTCCTAAATCAAAACTGTTTTAAGATAATTTTAATATGTAGTCCAGATTACCTCTAACTTTTGAGTGAAATTACAGGCAAGTAAAACTATGCTGACACTACACATTTAATACCTATAAACCAGTCACACTTCAGTTTTACCATTATGATTACAAAGTAAATGGTAAAGTCTAAGTTATAGCACCACATGCAATATATACTGAAATGAACAACTGGTACCTACCATTACAATAGTGCCAATAACCCAAAATGTTCTAAGACTAATACAGAAGGGGGTGAGCTTCCATATGGTACCGGATATATGTCTTCCAACTTTAATATGTGGCGTTATCTCCTCATTCACAAAGTTCAAGTCCATGTCTAGGTTCTTTTAACTAAAGGATAGGAGTCAGCTATACATAGGTCATGCAATTCCATGTTTCAATTACTTTTAGGCTCAATTACAGAGACTGCTTTCTAAAAATACTATATTCTTCTGAAACAAGTATAAATCCACACTATACGATTTTGAGGGACAATACTTGCCTTAGGTGGTTTGAAGGGGTAGTCTGTAGGAAAATGAATTGTCAAAAAGAATACACCGCCTTGATATGGGCTGTCATTCTGTGAAGAGACAAATGCACTTTAGTATTTAAAAACATCATTGCTAAATATTTCCATGTTTTAAGCAATGGACATATCTTTAGCATGGAATAAAAATCACCTACTTAACTGCAATGAAGAATCTAAATTCAAGAAAAATCAGCTCATATTAATAGACCAACTATCAAAACTAACTAGAAAATAATGAACTCTAATTTACTATGGTTCCATTTTTCAAGTTAAAAAATTTTGAAAAATGTCACCCAAAAAATGCATTACAAATTCTCACAATTGAAAAAGTAAACCAAGTTTACGTATTGCTATAAAATTTACATTTTCACGTACAGAATTTTTTAATAGAAGCACATTATATACGAATGTCTTGGCAATTCAAAAGGCCATTCTACCCACTAACATACCTAGGTAACACCCAAGTTTTCTAATAAACTCAAACATCTCTGTGACATTATAATTAGGGTGGGACTGAGGTGGACTAATAAGCTATTGCATACATGATAAATATCAAGATTCCAAATTCAATAAGCCTTCTCAAGAACACTTAAGAGATAACCCTAAGAAGTAATAAAACTATGTAACAGTCTAGGATTTTATGTTAAAAAACATAGCTCTGATTTCAGAGCTAATTTAAAAACATGCTTTAAAATTTACAGTAATTGGCCAACTACCAGTGGCACACACCTGCAGCCCTACCTACTCAGGAAACTGATATCTGAGGATTAAGGTTCCAAGCCAGCACAGGCAGGAAAAGTCCTGAGACACTGTATCGAATTAGCCAGCAAAGAGCTAGAAGTGCATCTGCAGCTCAAGTGGCAGAACACCAAAAAAAACCAAAAACAAAAATCAAAAAACCAAACCAACAACAAAGCTAATAGTTAGCCCCTAGACCCTGAGAGTTCAACTCCCAGTACTGGCACAAGAAAAAAAAACTTTACACTATGATGTTATCAATATACATCTCCTCTAAATATATCTGTTGTATATTTTATTAGTCTTCATCATGTTTTTCTATATTGTCAAGCAAATAAGACTTATACATCTTCACAAGCAAACAAATTTGACATCTTTAATTCCCACCTCTCTGTAGAACTCAATGTAATGCCCTACTACTACATGCTAAGGTACAAAAAAGGGACACACACACACAATTTTATAAAATCTGGGTATAAGGGTATAAATATAAAAGACATAGACGTAAGATACATCAAGAGTTAAAACATTTTTAAAATGAAGAGTCAGATTCAAAGCAATATACAACTGTCAATCGAAGAGCTACTATTTAAATTGAGTCCTACAGTTTTAATTAACAGACTATACAGCAGAATCTGGCAACCGAGTGGATGAAATAAAAAACAAGGCACCCAGAATTGAAATAAATTAATTAAATGGTTGTATCTGTGTTCTATAATATGGCTACCTCCCCCAGTGTTTATACTCCTTCCTCCTCACAGCATCCTAAGATACTAGTATTCTCACAGGCCTACTTTCTGCTTCTAACATCTGCCCCTTATATATTTTACAAAGTCCCGAACTTTATTATTCTGAGCATATGTTCTAATATCTACTGAACGTATTTGGATATCTTATCACATATATCAAAACTCCTACTCTATGGGTCCTCAATCACATTTTTTGTAATAGAAAGCCATAAGCCAGGATCCTTGCTAGATATAATTGCTTATGCCTTTAAGTCCCAGCAAACAGAGGTACAAGCTCACATGTTCAGGGTCAACCTGAGCTACATAGTGAGACCCTGTATTGAAAATCCAAGGGCTTGGAATGTAGCTCATTGGAGAGCACTTAGTAGCATCCATAATGGGCCTAGAAGATTCTATCCCCACATTTTTGTGTGCAAAAATCACACAAATGAAACATCTACCAGGCCAACCCAGTAAACTGTTCCATTTTCATCTAACTCTGAATCTAAATGCTAACAAACTTAAACTTTCTTCATTATTCCCACTGCCATTATTAACTCAAAATATGTTTTGTTTATGTATGCCAATGGTTTACTATGAATATTCCTGCCCTTTCCTTCTAATTTATTTCTTCAATGCAAGTCTTGGTTGGGGCTTGAACTCAAGGCCAGGGTGTTATCCTTGAGCTTTTTTACACTCAAAGGTGGTAGTCTACCACATGAGCCACAGGCTACACTTCCAGCCTTGGAGATAAGAGTGCCATGGACTTTCCTGCCCAGGCTGTCTTCAAACTGCAATCCTTTGATCTCAGCCTTTTAATTAGCTCTAATTACAAGTGTGGCCACTGGTGTGCAGTTGAAGTCATATTTTTTTTTTGTCATGGGGCCTGAACTCTTGGCCTGGGTGCCGTCCCTCAGCTCTTCAGCTCAAGGCTAGTACTCTACCACTTGAGCCACAGTGCCACTTCTGGCTTTTGCTGCTTATGTGGCACTGAGGAATCGAACCCAGGGCCTTATGCATGCAAGGCAAGCACTCTAATACTGAGCCACCTTCTCAGCCAGTTCTTCGTTTTTGTTTTGTTGTTGTTTTTGCCAGTCCTGGGGCTTTGAACTCAGGGCCTGGGCACTGTCCCTAAGCTTCTTGTGCTCAGGGCTAGCACTCTGCCGCCTGAGCCACAGCACCACTTCCATACTTTCTGTGTATGTGGTGCTGAGGAATCGAACTCAGGGCTTCATACATGGGAGATAAGCACTCGCACTCTACCACTAAGCCACCTTCCCAGCCCCTGAAGTCATATTTTTAAGAACACTTACTCACTGCCTGAAATATGGATGTAGGTCTAAGTAACTAAAACCTGACATTCCATAGCTTTTAAAATTAAAATTCTAAAGTACACAGGGTGCTTTATGATCTTGGTTCTACTAGTCCAATTAAGTTTCATCTTCAACACATTACAATATGCTCGCTACTAAACACAGTATTATACAAATAATTCAATTTTCCTACTTTCAAACTGGAATACTTCCCGATACTACAGCCTTCCTATCAAGTCTGCTGGCTGCAGACTTATATATACCTCTCTATATAGTTAACATTATACATCTCATTGACAATATTTACTTGTACTTTCCTCTTCCATTACACTGTAAAAAGTCCACTAAATGAATAAAGAGAAAGAAAATGTTTTCAAGTATTATTAACTGTGAAGGAAAGAACAATACACTTAAAAATATTACCTATGAGCAAATTATTTTACTTCAGAAGTCTTTTGTAGAATTCCACTTAAGATTATTCCTTATACAGCCCCATTTTTCCTACAACTATAGCATAGGCTATGTGGAATTTACTGTAGTTTTCCCAATCTGATTAAAGAAAAGTTAAGCATGTAAGTATCTGAAGCAGTAAAGAAGTTAATGCTTTTGATGGCGTAGTTTTATCTTGGGAACTGCAAATATAGAACAAGAAACAAAAATACAAACTCTAAAACTCAAAACACTGAACACTGAAAAAACAAGTAGCAACCAATTTTCCCCCCAAACGCTCAAATTTTTATCAGTATTTGTGTTTCCAAAGTGTCTTCATTTAGAATAAGCCAAGTTATTAAACCAAAGCATATCTGATATGTAACTTTAATGATCCAGGCAATTTCCCAACTACAGCTCACTACAATTCAAGTTCTTCTTATTGAAAGTTAAATCAGATGTTACATCTCTTAAGAAAGTAAGGAATTTTTAGTTCTGTGGCTTTTCCATCACCTAAAGCATTTGATTGGTCTTATTATTGTCAAAATCTCCCACCAAATGTACTGACTGTAATGTTATTATAGCTGCTGTTATTTTATTGATGCATGTAGTTTAATTAATGGTGGAATAAAAATGTATGTGCTTACTTATATGGAAGACAATTGAACAGTCACATTTGGTATATTTATAATTGACTCCTTTCTGAAACTATTTCATCATCATGGAAATGAATCATTTTAAATTGAGAATAAGTACATTAAAAATAATGCTACCAAAGTAAAATGGTAAAGTTCTGGTTTACACTTGTTTCCTTCTGTAATCAAGGAAAACTTGAAATGAGAGTAAAACTGGTTAAGCCGTTGTTTAAAGTTGGGTTAAGAATATGTAATTGATGCTGGACACGAGTGGCTCACATCAGTAATTCTGGCTACTCGAGAGGCTGAGATCTGAGGAGTACAGTTTGCAAGCCAGCCAAGGCAGGAAAAACCCATAGAAACTCTGATCTCCAATTAACCAAACCAAGAAAGCCAGAAATAGAGCTGAGGCACAAGTGATTGAACAGCAGCCTTGAGCAAAAAAACTCAGGGACAGTGTCCAGTGCCTATACACACCCACACACAAACTGCTGAGTGAAGAGAAGCAGCAGCACTTTTAAGGCAAAATAAAATTCAAAAAATTTTTTTTGTAAACAGCCAAAAGTTTGCTGGAAGTAACAAAAATATACATATAATCCTGGCATAAGGTATTTCAATTATTAAGCAGTATTTGCCTTCTGTCATAATTTGTCTTCCATCTGATCTTTAGCTTAACATTGCAGCCACATATGTCAATCTCTCCTATGCAAAACTTCATTAATGTATTACATATTTCTCACTTTAATATTTAATTATCTACTACCCAAATTTTTAATCTCCCTCAAAATTGACAAATATGTTACATTCATTCACATTCTTAATAAAGGCATATAGCAGGTGCTCATATTTGTTGATAAAATATTAAAAACAGGAACCGCTTAATACTTGTTCACCCAACTCATGCCAGGCCTAACTCTTTCAAAATAATTTTCTTCTTTAGAAACGTTATAGCATCTACTTAATGACCATGTTCTACCTAATGCATTACTGCCATTAAATATAATAAAAGAATAAGTTTTCTGTAATGTACACATGTAATTTAAGCTTAGAAACCCTAAAATGCCTTCTAATTAAAACAAAACAAAAAAAAGTTAAGTATTTGTGCAAGATATAGTCTTACCCCAGGATGTTTTAGTGCGCTCTAATTCTCTGAAATTCTTAGATGGTATCCATAATTCTGAATATTCAATTATCCAGCATATAGTTTCTTATCTACCCAGGATAGAAAGGAATTTTGCTATATTCAAAATATCACTTTCTGCCTAAATATATTCAAATTTTGTATAAAACAAGTTTTGTAAAGATTTAAATATCAAAGTAATACAATTAAGCTATATTCTTGGGAGTTACTGGAATAAGGTAAGGTCTTTTGACTAACAATTTATGTAGAATTAGAGCCAGTATATTGTCTCTATAAGCAAAAAAAAAAAAAAAAAAAAAAGTTCAATGACTTTTACATTGCTATAAAGGAAAACTGGACCAAGGCAAATAGATAGTAAGTCCAGAGATGTTATTTTCTACAACTGAACACAGGGACAAACACATAAGGTACAATAACAATTGATTAATATAAAATACTGTTTTCTTTCAAAGCAGTACAACTATGGCACATCTTAAAAGTTTTCTACACAGTAAAATAAACTTACAGATAAAAATACAGGATCAGATCAATGCTGGATTTTAAAAAACAAAATGTAAAAAAATAATCTTGATACTTACAGGTCCCATAATTGTGGCTTGCCAGTGAAACACTAGAAAAAGAAGAGGAAAAACTCTTCTTAAAAACATTCTTCTTAGCATCTCAAAATGCAAATTTTATGAAATTCTCATAAAAATCAATTCAGAAAAGTTACTTACTGTCATCCCCAACTGGACCTGCAGAGCACTGTGCTGGAGGATCACGGGCCAAATCACTAAGTTCCTACATCAAGACAGAAAATGATTCATGATATACTCAATGTCAAAGAACAAAGCCAACTCTTCTAGCTACTTTTATTCTATTTTTAAAAGAACACACCAATCACAATTTACACTTAATACAGGCTATACAATTCTTCTGTCTTGTTGTTAAAATATGGTCTAAGCATATTTAACTGACCCATACCTGAGAAAATCCCCTTGGTTAGGATTCAGAAAAGTTTATTACTAGTGCCCAGGACCAGCAACCTTTCTTTTTTTTTATTATTAAAATCTGAGCTTGGAAAGAGTCTACATCTATAGAAAGATGTCTGCTCTTAGCAAATCATGCAACTTATTCCCAATACATGTAATTTAACCCTTCTATGGCTTTGTGGTAGCGCTGCCTGCCACAAGTAAAAACAAAACAAAAAACAAAAAAAAGAACACAAGGTCCTGATATCAAGCACCAGTACCGGCACATGCACAGAGAAGTTTTATTCTTACTCAGTTTCCTAAATAATTTAAAATAATGTAGCTCCATGTTACCAACAATTCAATTATATTATCAAAATATTAAAGTTAAACCAACCACTACATACTGCTCTGTACATTTTCAACTCAAAAGTTTGTTTCACCCCTCAGTGCACTATTTTTACAATAAAAATATTTTAAAAAATTGTTTTAGTCTAAGTAAGTAAAAGTTACACCCACAATTTGTTTTGGGTCTCAACGTGGAAAAAAAAAAAAATCAAGGGTAATGACTGGGAACAACAGAAACAGACCAATAGGTCTGACTGCCATCATACACAAAACATCAAGTACTAGGAGAAGGAAGTATGCAGAACACAAATCACTTCCAAAGAAATTTGTTTGGATGGTATGCCTATCTTGCCTAAATTGGTCTTGAATTTTCAGTCCTCCTGCCTCAGCCTCCCGAGTGTAGTTGGGATTACAGGCAAGTGTCATGACCTGCTAAATACCATTGGGGGAGGGGGGAGGGCAATCTTGGGACTTGAACTCAGGGCCTGGCCACTGTCCTGAGATGCTTTTGCTCAAGGCTAGCATTCTACCACTTGCACCACAGAGCCACTTTTGGCCTTTTTTGTTTATGTGGTACTGAGGAATTGAACCCCGTGCTTCATGTATGCTAGAAAAAGCACTCTACCACTTAGCCACATTCCCAACCCTAAATGCCTAATTTAAAAAGACAGGATGAAGAATAATCCTGCCTCACAGCAATAATCAACCAGTTTTATCAGTATCAAACACTTCAAACCCAAACATATTACCTTTCATTTCATTCAAACTTACTATTAATTTAATTATTGCTAAGGACAGAAATTTAAGCACATGAAAATAAACTTCTGATCTTTCCTTCTCATCGAAAAGTCCAATGTAACGAGTCAAAGATATAGAAAACATCCTAGAAGTATGCAGAGAATTCTTAAATTCCAGAACAATCTTATGAATGCAGAATTTCCTAGTGCTAGGAAATATATATCAGCATGCCATTATGGCCATTACAAAAGAATACATTCTATCTAGAATATATACATATAAACCCTATTACTCTTAATGTTCTAAAAGTCAGGTGTGTGTTTCTTTATACCACTGAATATCATGAAGACATTTTCATATCCAGTGTGATTTTCTGAAATCTATGATTTGATATATATGAATAAGAAAAATTCTAGCCTTCATGTTAAACAATGTTTTAACTATATCAAATCCCATATCAAAATCATACACTACTGAAGTTAAAAGTATGCAACAGCTTTCTGGAGCAGCAGTGGCTCACACCTATAATCCTAGCTACTCAGCAGACTGAGATCTGAGGATTGCAGTTCATAACCAGACCGGATAGAAGACTTTTCTCCGCTCTAGGACTGTCACAAAACAACAACAATCCTCTTTTCCCATAAAATATCAAGGATGACTCGTACTCAAGCTAAACCTTTTCAACTCACTGGCTGTTTTTTGTAATTGTTGCTGGTTGGTCTAGGGCCTGGACACTGTCCCTGAGCCTCTCTGTGCTCAAGGCTACTGCTCTACCACTTGAGACACATGCCACTTCTGGCCTTTTCAGTTTACGTGGTACTGAGGAATCGAACCCAGGGCTTCATGTATGTTAGGCAAGCACTCTACCACCAAGCCACATTCCCAGCCCCTGCTTTTTTTTTTCTTTTTTAAAACAAAATACTAATTTGGCATTCTATTGCTCAAGCCACTTCCGGCTTTGTGATGATTTTAGTTTTGTCTGTCTTCACAGACAGGCCTCAAAGCACATTTCTCAGATCTCAGCCTTCTGAGCAGCTAGAAGCAAGCCACCAGCACTTAGCTGTATTTAAGTCTTGAGAATATGATTGACTTAATGGAGGCACACTAGCCTGGCACAAAACTTACTAGAAATTAATAATAGTCCATTGAAGACCACCCATATCGAAGACAAGACTTCATAGGTAAAGCATGTAATTAATTTGTGAGGAAAAAAAACTTTTATGCTTAGAGATCTAAAAATCTAGTATTTAAGCATTACCAAAAGGAGTGTTTTAAAAAGCTTCCGAGAACACAATTCAGTTTCCTTCTTAACACCTACCCCAAATTACTTAACATTTAAGACTATTTTAAATGTAATCAAAATTTAAGATGCTAAAGGTCAGGAAAAAAAGTCATTTTGGATAGAAGAAACGTATTTTTCCCCATACTGATGTCAAATAGCAACATAAGCCTTTAATGCTAGCATTAGCATTAAGGGCATAATTTCAGATAGTTAACAATTTCAGATTCCCAGTCCTATTTATTTCAGGCTCTTTTTACTCTTTTTTTTTTTTTTGTCGGTCGTGGGGCTTGAACTCTGGGCCTGGGCGCTGTCCCTCAGCTCTTCAGCTCAAGGCGAGCGCTCTTACCACTTGAGCTACAGCGCCACTTCCGGTTTTCTGGTGGTTTATTGGAGATAGGAGTCTCACCGTCTCTCCTGCCCGGGCTGGCTTTGAACCGCGATCCTCAGATCTCAGCCTCCTGAGTAGCTAGGATTACAGGCGTGAGCCACCAGCGCCCGGCTAGGCTCTTGTTACTCTTAAAATAATTTTTTTTCTTCTTTTTTTGGGTCCAGTCGGGGGGCCTGAACTCTGGGCCTGGGCGCTGTCCCTCAGCTCTTCAGCTCAAGGCTAGCGCTCTACCACTTGAGCCACAGTGCCACTTCCCGCTTTTTTCTTTTTGCTTATGTGGTGCTGAGGAATCAAATCCAGGGCCTCATGCATGCAAGGCAAGCGCTCTACCACTGAGCCACCTTCCCAGCCCCTCTTAAAATAATTTCTATGAGTCTCATTTTCCAAATTCTCATTAAGTAAAAACTGAAGATTAAAAATGTTAAATTCTACTTTTTTCTTGCTATTTCTAAGTAGTACTGGACCTTAAACTTAGGCTAGCACTCTACAAATCATACTTCAACTGTTTTGCTTTAGTTGTAGCTAGGTGTCCCATGCATTTAGCCCAGGTTAGCCACCCAGATAGCCACCTTCTACCTATACCTGAGACTAGAGTTATCACTGTTATTGGTTTGTACGTTGAGATGAAGGTCTTTGAAGGGCTTTCATCTAGCCTACACTCAAACCATGGCAATCCTCCCCCATCTCTGCAGAGAAGCTGTTATTAACAGGCATAAGCCAATGCTTCTAGCATCTTTCCTGCCCCCCACCCCCCTTTGGCCTGTCATGGGGCTTGAACTCTGGCCTGAACACTGTTCTTCAGCTCAAGGCTAACGCTCAACCACTTGAGCCACAGCACTACTTCCGGTTTCCTGGTGGTTTATTGGAGATAAGAGTATCAAGGCCTTTCCTGCCTGGGCTGGCTCTGAACCTTGATCCTCAGATCTCAGCCTCCTGAGTAGCTAGGATTACAGGTGTAAGCCATTGGCACCTGGCAGGCTCTTTTCTGCCTTTTAATAGTTCCTCATAATTATAACCAAATTGTGTATCAGCACTTTTCAGAAACTATTATGCTATTACTTATTATGTCCAGAGTATGAGCAAATGGAAAGACAGCTAGGAAAAAAAATAAGAGAATCACTGTAGATGTTCTTTGGAGCAGTTTAAAAAAGTAAACCATTTAATATATGGAGCTACTTTACTCACTCCAACTTTGTGGCTGAAATTCTAGTGATTGTCAGACATCATTAACCAATTATTCCAGCCACAGAATTGTTTCCTAGGCTTTAGTGAGTAAAGTGTAGGTAGAGTAACCTAAGCTAGAAAAGACGTTATTAGGCTACCATCCACAATTATGCAAAGTGTCTAAATCAAAGCAGGAGGATATTATTTTCAGAAGCCATTTGGATGTTTTAACCAGAGTTGTTGGCAAGCAATGTGCCCTAAAATTGTACGGCTGAAGCCAAAGTGAGGCCACACCAAGCAGAAAGTAACTGAGCTAACTTAGCACATGAATATGCAATGCCAATCTTTGACATTATAGGGACTGGAACCTCATAGCTCCAAACCACTCCTTTTGATCGCTATCCTGGTTCACTTTCAGTTTAACCCCTAAAATTCAATCAGAATTGTACCATGTCACACATAAATAAGGCAGGAAAAGTGATACCTAGCACTCTTGGTCAAGCACATAGACTTGAGGCCAATGCTGGTAGCTCGTACCCTTAATTCTAGTTACTCAGGGTGCTGAGATCTGAGCATTAACCTCCAAAAAAAGCCAGAAGAGGTGTGGCTCAAGGAGTAGAGTTCTATCCATCATTAAGTAAAAAAGCTGAACAAGGGAAAGAGCTCTGAGAAAGTTCAAGCCCCAGAACCAGGGAAAAAAAAATGTAGATTCGATACCATTAAAACAATGTAATTCTTGAGTCTTGCTGGAATCCTTGTAATACAAAGTAAAATCTCAAAATTACATTAGGGAGAACAAGAAGTCATGCATACAATAAAATGACTTTAAAATAAAAGGTATTGAAAAGCATGGTAAGGGTCTGGGAAGGTGGCTCAGTGGTAGAGTGTTTGCCTCACATGCATGAGGCCC